AATGTGAGCGCGACGCGGCGGTTGCGGTCGGCGGTCGACGTCGCATCTTCCGACGACGACGACGCAGCCAGCGGGTACTCGCCGCCGATACCGAAACCGAGGATACCACGGGCGACGACGAGGAACCAGAGCGTGCCGAGGTCCGAGCCGCCGTAGGCCGCTGCACAGAGGATACCGCCGATGATGAGGAGCGCGCACGTGGCCACCATGCAGTTCTTGCGGCCGTAAATGTCACCGAGAACACCAAAGACGAGCTGGCCGAGGACAGCGCCGATGAGCGCCGACGTCGAGACGCTCGACTTCATGTTGGAGTCAAAGACGGTCTTGCCGTACTGGTGCTCCAAGATGACGTTGATGATGTTGATGACCGAGAGGTCGTACGCGTCGTTGAGGAAACCAAGGCCGCGAAGGAAAAACTTGTTGACCATGGCAAGGCGTGTGGCAAATTGAATTGTGCTGGACCGAGACCCGCACCAGCCCTATGGGACACCCACGGGTGTGATTTTGGCGCGAATCTAGCGTACATTCCATCGAAGTGATACACTTTATGTTAATATACTGCGCACGGCGACGAATCTAATGCGAGCTCGTGGTCATCGAGTGTCGTCACATCCAGTGTTTGGCGCCGTCACATGGTGCCACGTATGCATACAAACTTGCCATGTAAATGCTGGCACAACGATGCTGGATGTATGGTCGCGCTCTGATTGGTTGAAAAGCAACATTTGGTGCTATTGGATTGGCGGAAACCATCATGCGTCACACAGGATCGCGCGCCATAGGAAAGGGACGTCGCAGGCGAGGAAAGGGCCGGGAAAGGGAGGGCATACATGCATGATGAGTGGTGTCGGAAGCCAGTGGCTGGAAGCTGCGACTGTGGCTGCGACACGGACCTCGCAACGTCATGGGCAGAAGGAGCCTTCCACTCAGCTGCTACCGATCGACCGCTGCGGTCTTCGTTTCAAGTACACCAGTCACGTGGCGTCTATGCATCTATGCTCCATGCCTAGGCGCCCGCTCGTCTCCAGCTTCCTCCTCCCCAGCTTGCCGTTGCAAGACTCAAGTCGAGGTTCATAAGTAGTAGCATTGAAGCGTTTAGCTATCTGCGTCGTCTTACTCGTCGTTGGACTCGTCGTTGTCATCCGTCGCGTCGAGCGGCGCGGGAGCAAAGCCAAGCCGCGAAAGCGCTTGCGCAGCGGCGTTGAGGTGGTTGCAGTACGCCGGGATAACATCTTCAAGCACGAAGTTGCAGACGATCAACGCTGTCACCCTACATCAAGGTCGTGGCATGAGACATGACCCGTCCCGCAGCAAGAAGGTTGCCGCACGTACCGGTATCCGTCAAGACAATGATCGCGCAGGCGCCGTAGGTAGGGACATCGTCGGTGTCGTCGGACGTCGTCGCGGGGATGTCGTCATAGACGTCGTCGTTGTAGCCGTCTTCGTCGTCGGACCGACCCGTGCTTAGCATCATCGTCCAGAGCACCAAGGCCGCCATATTGGCGACCCGCCGAGGCAGAAGATGGAGCGCGACCGAGATGGCCACCGCCCCGAGGACGAACACCAATCGCCCGATAAGGCACCCCGCATGGAGGCGAAGGCTCGGGCGAGGAGCGGCTCTTCTTCGCGGTGCATGCTGAGGTCGGAGGTCCGCGCGGTCGATCGGGAAATGCAATCGCAATCGCAATACAATAAAATAAAAACAATGACCGCCTGTCGTTAAAATCAGATATTTTAAATACATGTAGTAATTGTATGTGTGGACATTAAAAATACAAAGATCGGCGATGATTCGCCACGACTGGATTGACGGCGTTGGTGCAAGCTCATTGGCTCGATATAATTCGTTTCGACCAATGGCATTGGAGCGGATGCGTCGTCGGATCGCAACACGCTTGGTTTCGGTGGCGCGCTGGTCAGTCGGTCGTCGCAGCAATGTGGTCCGAGATGTTGGTACAACGTGATGTACACGAAGGGTTAACCCTCCGTCCTCGGAGGGTTAAAAGACTGCACGCACGCGCTAGCATGGCACGGATTGTCAAAAAACCATTTGCGTCGACACACTTGACAAGATTACTGCTTAGTCTCGTTCAATTCATCAGCAATCCCGTCACCGTATACACTCTATGCACTGTTTCCTTTTAT